ATGAAGAGGCAATTAGTGGATTCTCATGGTATCTGGAAGCGGATTGAAGGATTTATTATTGTAAATACCACAAAGACCTATAATAGCCTTCCATGAAACCACTGATCAGCTCTTGCAGATTATTGTTTTGTTCTTCGCAATCCTAATTACCCCTCATTCATGATAATCCACTTTCTTCAGTCCGGCACTACCTTGTAATTTATCATTGAAGTAAAAGAATGTTCTATATTCCGAGGAGAACATCAATGAACTGCCAATTCAGGGAATGATTCAAGTTTTGCTCATCTAACAGGAATGTCTATCCTCCTCCGATTGTTCGTTGAACCTGCACATGGTGTCCTCCCTTACTACATTACGCACTGGGCTAGTATCCGGCCTTGTGTACCAGGTTCACCAAATTTGGCGTTAGTAGAAATTACGAAACCCTTAAACTGATCCCAATTGCTGTCTCCTGTTGCTTGAATACTTATTCCTGATTGATTATCAATTTAATATTGACTAAACAGTGCTGTTCAGTTTTCAGTTTCAGTTTGTACAACCATTAACCATACACTATTGTGCGCCGGTTTTGGTTACTGTCTTTTGGATAAAGAGAAAGGCAATGGAGGTTGAAAGCAGGATCAAGGATTTCAGTGGACTAATGTGGGCTTGTGTGAACCTTTGACACCTTCAGTCAGACCCATACATAGATAATTTATCAACCTACGGTTTAAATAGAGGGTGACAATTGACGATGATCCATCTATGAGAATCAGTTTTTCTTTCCGCGTTTATCACCCATCATATTGCTGAGGACATCTGAACACCTGACCTGGAGAAACCGAATTTTATCTCCTAGTCTTTTTAGATCTGCTTATCTTGTGTAACTCGTCAAGTTCAATAGACCATCCTGTCAAAAGGCGGGTTAAACGCTAGCCCAAATGGGGCATAAGCCTATCATTAAAATGATTGGTAGTTTCACCCATTTTGTTTTTGTTAAATAAACCGCAAGTCTCTTACAAACTCTAATTGAAACAGAACATATAATACGAAGAGAGCCATAATCGAAATTTCCCCAAGCGTGGAGATCTATTATTGCCAGGCAGAATTCCACAATGTTAACCTTTTCAACAGCGTTTCACGGACTAGATGTGATTGATAGTAAAAGTTGCATGTATAAGTGCAATACAAACATCAGGAAATAGACTTATGAAATCTACATAATTGATAAGCTGATCGAAACGTTCGTACCGGGTAAATGAGCTTGGTCCCCTCGCTACGAATCGAAGTGAAAATTAGGAACCTTATGGCTGTTTCTGATTGACCACTAATCAGTCAGTCAGCCAGTCAAAAAAATGTGTTTAACTAAGGGAGGAATGGGAAACTTGTACTGTTCGATTTGATTTTAATTCATATGATTCTGTCTTGAATTCTGCCATCCAGTTCTCAGATGGACCTAAATTTCATACTAGCCAGGTTGTGAAACTGTGTTCCCGTATCTGCTTTATCTGCTAACGTTAAAACTAACTCACTTTTATTTTCATGGTAATTTTGTTATTTTTTCTTGTTTAAGCTCTTCGTATTTCTTTGGCTTGTTTTTTGTTCCACCGTTTCACCACAAGATAGGTTTCTAGGTCATCACCAATACGAAAACGTGATAAGCGCCACTGTACGATCACTTAATTCTTCAACTGCGTTTGTTATGTTGTTCTCGCATGCTTTTCACGGCATAAGAGTGATGAAAACTTTAAACCTTAGTGAATTCACTCTACCGATTTGCTTGCTGTCTAAAGTATTCTCGTCAATATTTAATAAACAGTAATGTAATAAACCACACCACATTCAATTTTCCCTACTGCCCCCTCAGTTTGAAGTTCGTGTTCCCACATGTGGGCTCACAGTTAATGTATGTTTCTACGCATAATATGGTTTCTGTCGCTCTCCTGATTTTCTGTTGGTTGCATTTAACCGACTGTTTCTCTGTTGTCAGTTTTCCTATCGCTGAGTTCACGATCGTTTGTTGTTTTCTCGTCCCTGTGACAGCCCTTGGACTGGACTTCTCATTCCCATTGGCGTGGTTATTATCGGCGCAGTAGCATACAAGCTAATGTACGCGTAGCCTGCATTCGCCGCACACATCCGTCCAGTGCTCTGCAAGTTTCCGTCCCCCTAGGTCTGACGACGCGTCTGTTCCCACCGTCTTTCCCACGGCAACCCATTTCATTCCTAACACCCACTGATCGCAATTGTTTCATTGTCAATTTATACTTGGCCGTGCTATTATCATTTTTAAAAATCTCATTTGCCAGTGTATTTAGGTGGAAAATAAAAGTGGTTTGTGGTTCATTTGTGTTTTCCCTCTGCCGCGTTGTTTATCGTCTCGGCTCTGTTGTTGTTGATCATGTTTGATCTGATAGTGCCTCGCTTTGGCACCTACATATTGATCCTTGGTGTTCGAAGTGATGCTCAGAAGCTTGATAGCTAGAGGTTGACTATGGGGAGGAGGGGGGAGGGGAGCTTCTCGTACCCAGAAAGTCGTTGATGCAGGTCACATGATTATCCAAGGTTTGAGTGGCATACGCTGGCGTTGATGTAACGTGATATGATATCCATCAGTAATGAAGCATACGGCTTTTGTAATGTTTCAACACTAGCCCCAACAAGTTACTTCTTGTCAAACTTAATGCGATGTCTGTTCACTGTAATTAACCCTGATTGCTTTTTACACTGATGTCCACTCACGGACATCCAGAGAGAGAGGGGGTTCATCCTTGGTAACGTTTATCACAACAAAATAATCATCCGTAAACCAGATTCTGAATAATCAAGAACGTGTTCACTTTCGAACATGTGTTCTTTGGGAGCCAGGGCATATTGGTACACTAAACGGTACATTGATTTATATATTAGGAAGGTACTGTAGAATTTTTTGGATACTGTGTGAGCTGTAAACTAGAACAAAATACGTCAATCATACCGTTACTGTAAAACTTGTACCAGCAATCTCTGGCGCCCCATGGACTGTGAATTAGCTTGGTACTCGTAACTGTCAATAGGATGTACGCAAAGAGAATCATACTATAGCCATCAGGAGTGATGCCATGCACTTTCAGTACTTCGTAAGCACTACAGAAAGGTCCACAGAACACTAAACCGATGAAATGTGCAAGCCAAGTTAAACAGCTCTTGGGAACTCAAACTATTAAATTCACTTATTCGATGTAACGGGTTATACGACGCACGACCTGACTGAAGCACTACCACGGATGAGAACGTGATTTTTATCCTCTGTTCGTCTAATGGTTTGGGAAAATGATCATTCTGCTCCCTATACCACGTTTTCTTACCTCCATGGGTTTAACTCTTCCCTCGAAGCCCTAATCAAGTTCTTTTGTATATCGGGTATATTCAATCCAAACCATGTAATAACAGACGTGGCACTACTTCCCATAGCGGCCATTTTATTTGTGACTCAAATGGCAGTTTCCAAATTTATTATCTGACTGCTGATATTGATTCTCTGGGCTTAACCTTTCAGTGTTGACAGAGTGTGCACCAAGGTGCCCGTTGATAAGTTAGTTGGTAGGGAAGGAGAACCGCATTGTACGCCTACTTGCTGAGTTCTGGAGTTTATTGGACATTGCGTGTTAAGTTCAAGTTCGGTCCACTCCTGCATGGGTCGATTGAGGGTAGTCGGTCATCATACGATTGTGCTTGTTCTCGTCGGTTTTTCGTGGCTCTTTAGATACTATTATCAAAACTTCTTCATCTTTTCCCATCAAGGTTTAGCCTCCACCCGCAATCCTTTAGCCAAAACCCGCAATGCTTTAACCACGACCCGCAGTCCTTTAGCCTCGACGCACAGCCTTTAGTCACACCGCTGTAGGCGAGTCAGAACAAAAACTATGGGGATATTCTGAGGTCAACAAATGTTGATATATATATATATATATATATGTGCATATATATAAATCGTCTCATCTCAGATTTTCTCTGCAGTCTCGTCATGCGGCATTCGATTCGTCGGTAATAGGGCTATAAAAACTCACCGCGAAAGGTGGCTGTAATATTTTTTGTACCTTGCCTACCATCACACTCATCTGCAATATGGAGAACGTCAAGTCGGATGGACAGAAAAAGCCCTATCGTTTCACCAGTGCGGAAGATCGAGGAAGGGTAATTGAATGTGCACGCAGAGGTGACGACTTGACAGAAGTTGCAAAACAACTCAGCATCAAAATCAAAACATGTCGCTACTGAGCAACCGGGTGACCCAAAGTTTTTATCTTTGATAATGCGCCCGTTCATCGGAGAGCTTTGGATGCACAATTAAATGTCAACCACCAAGTCCGATTTCTCCCACCATACAGTCACTTTGTAATCCATTAGAAGAGATCTTCAATAAATTCAAACAGGTTGGCGATTTTAATCCTTTAATTCGCTTATTATTTAGTACATTAAAAACTGGTTCACTGAAAACACGGAAACCATACGAGATGTACCAAATTGTTTGACGATACGGGCACATCGTCTAAACCTACTCCAATCACTATGTGGCGCGGCATTTGATACCGTTACTACAGTCAACTGCGTAGCATACGATCGCCACACCTCATTTATTAGTCAAGCTTTGCAATATCAAAATTTGTAAAATATAATTTTTTTCAACATTCGTTGACCTCAGAATATCCCCATAGTTTTTGTTCTGACTCGCCTACAGCGGTGTGACTAAAGGCTGTGCGTCGAGGCTAAAGGACTGCGGGTCGTGGTTAAAGCATTGCGGGTTTTGGCTAAAGGATTGCGGGTGGAGGCTAAAGCTTGATAGGAGAAGGTGTAGATGCGGATTTCGCTGTTGTAAAACCAATGTGCATACAGCCGCATGTGTGGTATGTGGAAAATTTTGTAATTCGCAAGGTAGCTTCAACACTGAATACTGCGATTATCATGTGAAGGAACTTGATACGTTTCCCATCGGTTATATAATTCTATGGGTCGTATTAAATTCAGTCCCGATAATACTAATGTTCTGCCTTAATTATCCGAAAGCAGGAGGTGGTTGCGAGGAAGTCAGAAGTAAGAAAGCTACATACGCTCATCTCGACGACATCAGTTTCGAGTTAACTTGTGAATTTAATGGACCGTAGTTGAGTATTTTGAAATGACCACTGCTACCCTTCATTGCGTACCTGTTTAGTCAGTCTGTCGTCGTGATCCTTGAGTATATTTGTGCTGATAACACGACTCCAGTTGACAAAATCATCGGGTTTGATCACTTGTTGGTTTGAGGGCTCACCTCTAACCATGGGATAACATATCGATAACAACAAGGCAACAGTGTTCTGATGTTTCGTTCCCGGTAATCATTCGCCATTGGATAGATTTGTAAGTAAATCAGGGATCCGTGCATCTCTGCTAATCAGACATTTCCTTTATATTATTTCGGTCAAGCAGTAGATCTAATTAGCCTACTAAGGAACAGCCATTTTCTGTTTCTGCACACTCTCCCGCCAATGTTTTTATGCGTATGTTCGGTTTGCTATTACGTTATGTTGTCTGTCGGTTATATGCAATTATAGTAATAATAATGTTTTTTGAGTATGCAAATGCACAATCAACTTCCAGGAACGGGATTGCGGTCAAACATAGGCTACTTGAATAAGTACCCTTCTGATAATCTTTTTTCTAAAAGTAGCCCACTTTATGTTCATTGTGCAACACTCTTCCATTTTCAGACGACATGCGTCTCACCGCCTTCCTCTGTCGGGGTAAACGTATTCATCGGGACAAGCTAGAGTATTTACGAAAACAATTTTGGAGGCACACAGTTTCGAAGATGGAGGTTGATCGTTTGCGGGTGCCCGATCGAGTGCTCAGGAGTTCACAAGCACCTTTCAGACAGGCTGAAGATATGTTCACTTCTACGCGGTACGAGGACGTTTTAGCTCAGGAAATCGAATTAGGTGTCAACCCAGAAGATGCGGCACGGATTGCTCAAGACAGATCAGCTCGGTCAGAACTCTGGTCCCCGTTTCGCAATGATTTCCGATATCATTCGGGCAATCAAGAACCCACTTTGATGTTTTCGGGCCGGCGAAGACTAACCAAGGGATTGGATCAAGCTGGTTTATTGACAAATGTAAGCGTTATTTCTGTTCCCTTTAGTGTAATGTTTTTAACAGACTGAGCTTAATCGAGGATTTAATTCAATCTCATGATGAAGTGCATCGCATGCGAAAGAGACGGAACGGTAACTGAAAATTTGGGAAGCGCTGTACAGCTGTTTTGAAATTGTTGGATCTCGCCGGTAGGAACCCATTGGCTCAACTTGGGATTAAACTCGAGACCTCACACGTAGAGCGGAAGCGTTCTACCTACTAAACCACCAGGCAGATAATCAGGCCGTTTTCTTCACTGTCTATATCAATAAGGACGGGACTAAAAAGCCAAATGGCTGCCCAAGGAGTGCTTCCTATACCCTGTACACGTCAAAATTCACGGTGTAATTTCTACTAACCATTGTTTTCTGTACATGGCTACGGAGCGAAAACACGGTGCATTATTTATCAAGACGATGTTGCAATCATTCACTTAGTTAGTCAAAAGGTCAGTTTATAATTTAGTTGATCAGTTACTCAGGTTTTTGACGAGATCCAATGTTGCACATCTAAAGTGATTTATTCGCGTGCTTTCTTTTATGTCGTGCTTATCTTATCTAATCTGTTAATTTTCAGACCGCCATTGTCGAGGGCCCACCTCCCGTAATGAAGAACGTTAGAGATAATTTAGATAGCCTGATCTTGAGCAACCGCGCAGATATGTCTGAGCAAGACAGTGAATGGCGAATGGTTTTGCGCAATGCAGTCGAACGTGCAATCTTACACGCACATGTCTGGCACACAGATGAAACCAAACTACCACGTCGGTTTTGTCCTGAATTACCTATTTGGCACCATAAAACGGAGTATGGCATTCACCCACAATTGGCCACGCGATTCCTCTTCCACAATTTGTTTCGTCTACTAAATACGCAAGTAAGTACCGATCTCGGTTTTTCTGTGCTAGTGTGTCGCAACCGCCTTGAATATTGTCTATTATTAACATAGAAATGACTTGTTTTTATCAAAATTCCTGTGGCATCATCATCATCATCATCATTGTAGAGCGTAATACAGTGAAGCGGACTTCACTGATCGCTGCCAAACTCATATTACATACAAGGTAAGTGCTAACGTGTAAGGAGGGCAGGAATTGGACCTACTTTTAGGGCCGGGAAAAGAAAGCGAATCTCTACGGTCAACGCACAGAGTAAACAGTTCAACTGTGCATACATACTGTTTCAAGCTTTCTGGTCTGATAAGAAGTGACTACATGATCACCATTGCTGTCGGTTCGTAGCCATGACCTTCAGTGTCTCCAACCATGCGGTTACGGAGTCTTTTGGACCCCACCCCGCAAGACGAGAGACACCTACTCTACTCAATCGCTCATGCCTCGTCTCCACTTCATTTGCTGGCCTCCACGTGGCTTTCTCCAGCCTGTAACAGCCACCGCAAATAAGGTACGCTGACGTAGGCGACCGTCGGACATACGCAAAACGTGTCCTAACCAAGGGAGCCTATTGAACTGGATTCGACGCGATAGCGAGTTCTTGTTTGAGATATTCCCAAACACCCGACGACTTCTAAGTTTCTAACCTGCTCACTCCATCCCACTTGGACCAGTCTACGTAAGCTAAACGACGGATGTCTTCTACTCGTAAATTCAAGGTCTCACAATGGTAAAACAGAACTGATCGTACAGTGAGGAAGTATAAGCGACTTTTCAACTTCAGTGAAACGTTACATCGCCGCCACAGGTGTTTAAGTCCCGCTGCTCGAGCCTTGGATGCGCTACCGTCGTTGGTCACGCAGCTACCTAAGTACGAAAAGCAGTCAACTTCAGCTAATTCCTGACCGTCTAGTTTCAGAACGGCACTCGGCGGCACTCAGTCTTGTAGCATCACTTTGCACTTTGAATGTGCAAAGCACATGCTGAACGGAGTGACAGCACTTGCTGATCTCTCAGGTGCTCTTTGCGCATCCTCCATAGATTTGAACAGGCAAACGATGTCGTCAGCGTACTCCAAATCGCACAGCTTTTCTCCAGCTGCCCATTCAATACCTATATTTTGGAGACCAGTAAGTGTGTTCTCCAGTATTTCATCTATGACGAAATTGAACAGAAATGGCGAAAGGAGGCACCCTTGACGAACGACCTACTCAGCTCACCGTAGACCCTTACGCTACCAGAAATATGCTAGTAGAGCGACCTCAGTATGTTCACATACTTCGCGACATTCCTTTGCGAAGGAGCGAACCCATAAGGGATTCGCGGTCAACTGAGTCGAAGTTTCCTTTTAGGTCAAGGAACACGACAACCGTTGGTCGACGGTGCGTATGGCGTAGGTCGAGGACTTGGCGCAGAGTGAAGGTTTGATCGATACAACCACGGCGTGGTCAAAATCCTGCTTGTTGTTCGCGGATGTTTGTCTCCTTAGACGGTGTCAGACGTCGAAGTATGATAGAGACTAGTAACATGGTGAAGATTGGGATCAAACTTATTCCACGGTGGTCTGCACAGTCATTGCGGGATCCCTTCATAAACATTGGAACAATCGTTGATTTGCCGTAGGGTGATGGAATGCGCTCGTGTGACCACATGTTACGCATTAGATCAGTAATGGAGTCTACGAGGTCACCGTCCTCCATCTTGAAAAGAATGGAAGTTAGCCCGTCAGGTCCTGCTGGTTTTCCTTTCTTCAGGGCATGGATGCAAGATAGAACTTCTGCTACAGTAGGAGGTTCTCTTGACACTTCCCATGGAGCCTCACCAGACGAGATAGTCTGGTTAGCGCCTGGCCAGCTAAACTGTTCGTTGAAATACTCCA